TATAGTATTGATTCTATCGAACCAACGTGCATAATATACGGTTGCAAATCCTCCTTTTCCTATTTCCTCGATATTTCTGATCTCATTATAATTAATCCAAGATAATTTAAATCTTTCATTGTCTAATATTTTCTTAAGTTCAGGACTGATATGATCTGGTGATTTATTAGTTTTCAAAAGACTTCTGTACTTTATATATCAATAATTTGCCTTCTGAATATTTCTCTTTGTACCGATACCTTTCGATAAAATCTAGCAACATTTTTCATTGCAGCTTCAATACCCATATTAGCAGATTTTTTATAGGATTCAAATGCTTTATTATAGTCTCGATCAACACCGTATTTATTTTCATAACAATTACCAACATTACTAATTGCAGCAGCGTTATCCATATCAGCAGATATCTTATAATATTCAAATGCTTTCAGGTAATTTCATTTTACACTAATTCCTTCTTCATAACAAAGACCAACATCGTTCATCGCAACGGGATTTCCTAAATAAGCTGCTTTCAAATAACATTCAAAAGCCTTCCTTTCGTCTTTCTCAACACAGATACCATATACATAATCGTAACCAAGATCACGAGTTGTTCAGAGTCAATTTGTGTTTATAGGAAAAAAAAAAATGCACACTTTAAATAAAATACAAACTTAATTGAAGCGTAATGATGTTTGATAAGTGATACAAAAGTTATATCAATAGTTATGTTTTTGATTAGCTCATTGGTTGAATTATAAAGTTGCATTAAAAACAGCATGCAAATTTGTATTTTAATGTAACATATCTAAAATTTTATTTATTAAAATCGTAGCCCATTCAAAATATTTAAAAATTTTTGCTATCGACTTGATTTGCTAATATGCTTAATACGGCCCAGTTCCAATGCACTTCACCCAAAATTTTAGAGATTGTCTAGTAAAAGATCTATACGTAGTGATAATGCCGAAGAGATCGTCACAAAAAAGCTACAGCATAATCCTTCTAAAAATAATGAAAAATTGTACATCGTAAATATAATTACTAGTATATTGCATTTTTTAAATATTGATTTTAATTCACCGAACTTTATTATTAATATGCTTAATATTGTCTAAGAATTTCATCATTTCTAACATCGTAATTTTTTTAAAAAAATAACAATACTCAAAAGTTTTCCATGATCGAAATGAAGGAATATTCAAAGAATAAATTATTGTTTAAAATTTTCGTTGCAAAATTTTTACATAAATGATTCAGAAGTTCTATATTTTATTACCGGTTAAATATTATGGTATGACAAAAATATTTGAATAAGATCTAAATTTAAGAAAGAAAATGCGCTGAGTCTATATAAAATAATATCAATTAATAGATGAATAAATTTCGTAATTGCATAGAATGGAAAGATATTCACCATTTAACTCTTTTACTCCTTTATCAATAAAGCACGTATGATATTTTAATTTCCTATTGGCAAATGTAGATTTACGGATTGTAGTCAATAAAGCACTCTTGATACGCATTATATTTAAACTAATGTGAGTAAGTACGCGTAAGCCTAATTGAAAAATTTTATCTAGATGTTAATAGAATTTTTACATAGCATTAAATATTTGTAAGAACATGTATTATGCATACAACACCACCATCTATATAAACATCGACATCCGTAATAAAGGTTAGATCTAGATATAATTTAATTAATTCTCCAAATACACTATATATGTTATCGTTATTAATTACTGTACACCTAAATTTCATAGCACTATATACCTTTTAGGATTGATATTCACTTTTAAATAACCCGAAATAATTGATATAAAATTGAAATTCATCGATCGCCAACCAATAAAGTATTTTTAACATATTAACATAGTATGCATTGATTAATTTATATTAAAAAAAATTTACTTGCATTGGTTATTAATTCATAGGTCGATTACGAAACATGAAAATGGAATGAAATTATAATTAATCGAACTGCAATTGTTTAACAGATTTGAATACATGACATTTAGTTTATATAATTCATACAGATGGCCATAAATGCCGTAACAGGGCGCAAATAATATCATGAGTAATTCATATGCAACTTATAAAAAAGCTTAATGGACGTACTATGAATTTGATGTTATCGAGATTGTCACTTAGGTCACGTTTTTTGATTTTGAATATTATAGATATAAAAGAATTCGTTATTATATTAATAACAAAACGGACTTGGATCACATTTTTGGATACGACCAATAAAGCACACTTAGAATTAAATTAGATAAATAGATAGATAGAAGATATATTGATAGATAAATGTCTACTATCATGATTTCTGTGAGTAATAGTTTTTTCTTGTTCTCATGATAAGTAAAGTGTCTGTAACATCAATTAGGAAGATATGCAAAATTTAGAAGCAGTTAAATATTTAAATATAAATATGCATGTAAAGGATAAGGATATATAGCGATAGTGTAAATACGTAATAATTGCAAATTACTAAAATTGATCACTTAATTCTGAACTTATCAAATCAAACAAGATCTCTCTAAAACCTCTTAAGCATGTATTTCACTTTCCCTTCACTCTTTTATTTATACCATATGTACTATACAATTACGTTATTACTAATTGCATAGTTTATTTAACTTTATCATAGTTCTGTTATGCATAGTTACTTTAGCTTTAATCGTTGCTTTTACTTCGAGTTACCGTCACTCACGTGACAATTTATTAAAAAAAAAAAGCCGTATACTCAAATCTAATCATCAAATCAAAAAGCAGCAGAGTAAGGATTATTTATTTTTATTTAATTGAAGCTTTACATATAATATTAGCGATGAATTAGTATAGGAAACGAATTACTTTTAATAGTATCATTATATCATATATTCATAATTATAATCTGAGATCCTTTATATAATTAATCTATCTATCGTAATTTATTCAGTTACAGTACAAATAGGCCGCATTATAGTTAATGCTAGCTAGCTTTTCGGTATTGTACCCTTTGCGCGAAATTCAGAAACTTGATTTGCATTGTTATTCTATTATCTTTGTCAAATTTTTTGTACCGGTAATTTAATTCTTTATTAGGTGATATATTTAATTTATATGGCACTTATATTTAACGTAAATAAATGTTATGTTCACCTATTAATTAATGAGAATAAATAGTATATATTTATGAGCTTATTTTAATTCTTGGATTAATAAATAGACTATACTATCATGATAAATAAAATCCAACAGTAAATAATCATAAAATTAATGTAAATAATTGTGGAGTTGATGCTAAAATTTTAGAGCCTCTATAAAACCTAGTAAAACACATCTATATACTTTGATTAATAAACATAACCCTAAACTCTAATATGATATTATACCAGGCGTTCAAAAGTTCTAAAACACTGACTCATTATTTTAAGTGACCTTATATATATGTATAAGGTCACTTAAAGAGAGTTACTGTATTTTGGAACTTTGAAGCATCCGGTATAAAGACTAAAAAATGTGCAAAAAAATTCAAAAATTTAGTAATAAAAATAGTCAAAATTTTAGCATCAGTCCTCCTATAAAGGTTCGGTCAGTCACATAGTTGTCTTTATTATTTTCTGAAGTTCTTCAAATATTTGACAGGATTTGGATAAAAAGCTTAAAAGTTTGGAAATATTTGGAGTTTTTTTTTTGTCCCCGAAAGCATTATTGATCAATCAAATAATACGATTTTGTGTACCAAAAAAAGTGTGAAAATTTTTATTCAATTCCGAAACTTCACAACATACATTCATCACAATTCCTAAAGTTCACGACAGAACTTTTTTAAAATTTTAGCCCAAAATTTCCGGGCCCCCTAACACTTTTATCTTTATTGACTAGCTCACATGAATTTGGAAAAATTTATTTCAAAATTTTCCGTGTCCCTGAATAGAGCTAAAACTGATCAATAATACCGTTACATAGTTAAAACTATAATTCTATGTGAGGAGAGATTGTAATTATAGAAATCAATATTACAGTATTAAAGAAATGATGAAAATAATGATAATCTCGTGCATCAAATAATTAAAATTTGTGCGTCATGTCTAAATTTAAGCGTGAAGTTTTATTAGGGTTAGATATTAGTTGAATTATAATGATCTTAATTTGATACAGACTTTAATTTGATGCAAAATAGCTGGAGAATTAAAATAAGGGATGCAGAAGATTACGAAGGACGTTAATATATCATTCTCATGTCTTATTTTGCTAAAAACGTTTATTCATAAATAAATAAAAGGAATAAAATAAAATAAAATATATACTTCCTAATATAAATAATTTTTCGTTTCTGGAGCATCATAGAAATATGACTGATTATGTACGTACATACGTCCGTACGAAATTAAATTACGCAGAGGCACTCTTTTTTATAAAATTGGTCCTATTTTTTTATTTTTTTAGATGCATGGGCATACTTTTTGTTTTTTTTTGTCGAAACTTGATATAAATTGATTCTTTATTACTATTATTACAAAGTTACAGAAATGTTTTTATATAAATTGTAAGAAAATAATTTTTTTCCTTGTCTAAATTATCTGTACTCATCATTCAGGGATTATATCCGTAGAAAAAACGCCACTTGGGTACAATTAAAATGTCCGAGTCTTTCATCAAAACTTTATCCGGGCGCAATATCATTACTTGGATCACTTTGGAAATTATTAAATTAATTGGTAAATTAATTGGTAAATTTTTTACTTAAAATATAAATTTTGTTCTGTAACTTTGTTTTTTGTGATTTAATATTTAATTTTAAAAAGTGACAATATACTATAGCGATCACAGTTTTCAAAAATTTTGTTATATCATTCGTACATATATAAAGGCCCAGTTTTTCTCTACTTTCTACAGAAAAACCGTTAATTTTGTTATTATAATTACTTTATATTATCATTTATTATTTACAACTCTCAAAAAAAAAAAGAAAGAAAGAAAGAAAAAAGATGTCCTCAAAGTTATTACATACCCAACTTTTTTTTTTTATGACAATTTCTTTGTTCATTATTGCATTCCACTTTGATCTTAGTAATGCTTATAAACTGGATAGAAGTTTTACCCAACATTCAAAACGAGAAGAAAATTTTACAGGAAGTGTTACATTCTTTGATGCAGGCCTTGGTGCATGCGGTACTAAAAATACGAACAGTGATTTGGTTTGTGCAATATCAAAAGAAAGATTCGGTGAATCACCCGGTGATAATCCAAATAAAAATCAAAACTGTGGTAGACAGATTAAAGTGACTAGAGATTCGAAATCAGTCATAGTCACGGTTGTGGATATATGTACAGAATGTCAACGAGATGATCTTTCTTTAACTCCAGCAGCATTCAATCAACTCGCTGATCCTTCGGAGGGACGCGTGAAATGTACTTGGGAGTTCTTGTAATAACTTTATGTTAAAATTATTCTCCAAAAAAAATTTTTTTTTCAACCTAACATATATGTAAACATTAATAATGCATTAGATAACTTTTATACTTCATATATGTATGTAGGTAGACTTTTTGTTATTTGTTTAACTTGCGTAGATAATTGTAATACCTCTGGAAATATAATCACATGATAAAATTATTCCTTGTTAAGTTACTTTTGTACTAAGTGCATATATTTTCATCATTTAAATATTGAAAAGATGAAAAGTATTTTGATTAATATCACTCATAGTAAATAATTAAAATTATTTTTTTACCCATTTTTCAAATATTTCTGAAAAACGTGTATTTAATACATAAGTATATTCTAACAAAGTTGGCTCTAGATTAGTAGACATATGTTCAAATTATTTGAAACCAATCTTAGGCCGAAATGATTTGAATAATAAGTCTGTATAATTTATAGCACATGATCATGTGGCGGCTGCGCCGCCAAATTTTGACCATAGACGGTATAATGGCATATGACACAGTCGAGATTGTTTACAGTCAAAATTTATTGACTTGACTAAGCTGATGTTTAAAAATCAGATTAGTGGTTATACCCAAATTGATTCATACTGTTTAACATATGTATATTGGACTTGCTTTAAGCTCAGCTTTACATTTTTATATGTTTTGGCCTCGCTCCACTCAGCGGATTTAAACTCTACATTAGTTTTTTGCGCGTGCCTCTCCTCTGGCACGATTAGGTTGGTTTGTATTGGGATCATCGTGACTTATACATGGGCTACAGTAAAATTTACTTGTTATTCCAGTGATAATAGCTTGTAGTTAAAGTTGAGTTAGTTTATAATATACTGTATGTGGTGAGTTAGTTTGCATTAGAATTATCGTAATTTGAATCATGAGTTGTTATAAAATATCCTGCTACAGAATTTGTTATTTCAGTGAGATACGAAGTATAGTTAAGGTCTAGTTAATTTTGCAATAGTATTATCGTGATTTCTATCATGAGCTACAGTAAAACTTGTTATTTCAGTGACAATAGTTTGTTGAAGTTAAGTTAGCAATTTCAATCATAAGTTGCTGTGAAAAATTTTGTTACAAAACTTGTCACTCCTGTAATCATGTGGAATTATTGTAATTTCTATCATAAGTTGCTATAAAAATCCTGTTAAAGAATTTACTACTCCGGTAAGACATAGTATGTAAATAGGGTTGAATTAGTTTTACATAAAGTTTCTACAATGAATTACTGTAAAAAACTCTTTTACAAAACCACTATTCCGGCGATATAGTACACTCTACCCTCGTTATAACGGACCTTTCGTGCTGAAAGATTTTGTCCATTATATCCATGCTAAATGAATATCTGGTATAATGTTATATAATATAATAATAGTAATTTTAAATTGTTTTAGATATCCACTATATCGGAGTCCTTTATAAAGAGAGTAGAGTGTATATGGTTTACTTATCACGTTATTAATGTTATCTATATTTCTGTTAAGAATGTCAAAGACACATAACGCTTTTAAAATCATAATGCAGCTACAAACGATCACGATTATATATGAATTTATCGTTATGTTATCAGTGTCAGGAGATTATCGTGAATTATGTGGTTCTGAAAAAATCTCCAAATTTTAAGCTTAATTATGCGAAAAACGCAAGTTAACAACTATAGCTCTGAGTGAAGTAACGGATCGGCTAGACGCTAATAGATTTGCCCTTATTTTAGCACACTATGTATTCCGATTTTGGAATTAAAATACATCATTACAACACACTCTGATCCTTTGATAAAATTCCAAATCCAGAATAGAATCACAAAAATCACAATAATTTCTATCATCTTTCACTGACAATCATTTCACCTAACAGCTCACTTAGCTGATTCACGCCGCGTGTCAATTTACTAATATATTGTAACGATTAATTTTTCCTGTGTCTCATCACTTCCGTATTTGTCTAATTCTTTAAGTTGTCACTTACCTTCTATAATTGTACTATCATAGTCATGTTAATCTTACCTTAGTAGATTAGGCATTATTATATATTCTTGGTGGCTTAATTCATGCAAGTGCGTTTACGCTCAAAGCGCGTATATGCGATTGCATAAATTTGTAATTATTACGCCTTAAGCAAATGGGGAATCTACAGCGTAAACGTTGAGATTTCTATGTTTACTATCTGTAAAATTAGAATGTATATAAGAGTGTGCCTTCATCCTTAGTTGAGGATAACATTCGCTCTCCCAAATTCCTCAATAAATAAGGGTCACATATATTCACACTCTTTTTTAATAAATGCCTAATAAATCATGAGTACCCGAATACCGTAATTTATCAACCAATTCATGTGACCCTTCTAACGTCAACGATCGAGTTAAACTCGGCATGACAATACCAAGCTTTCCCTTACGATGGTTATAATATATACCTTCAACTAATCAATGCTAATGCACTATGTGATGTTTATTAAATGACTGCAGTACCAGTTTTTATCATATGGGTGTAACCAAGGGAATTATAGTTTGTATAAGTTATCCATCTATGAAGGATCTATTATTATGATAGATTTTTCATAGACAGCTAACTGTACACAAAATATAATTGAAAGTCCATTGACATTTTTTCCCTTGGCAGCACTCATATCATAGGTTCATTTAAGATATGCCAGTAATGATACAGTAAATAATTGGAATTAAATTTAAATTGTTAGAATAAACTACCGTATTATAACGCAAATCATACGAGTACCGTCAAGGGAAAATCTGTCATCGGACTTTCAATTATATTTTGTGTACATTGATAGCCGTCTATGGAAAATCTATAATGATAATAGATGGCTAACTATGCACACAAAATTTAATTGAAAGTCAGATGACAGGTTTCTTTTGATGGCACTCATAAGAAATCTTACGATTACCGGTGATCGTTCACATAAATAGTAACCTGGTATAAATTGTAAAGTTTTTAGCGATCTAGAGTAAATTGATCAATTTTCAACTCGGGATCTTCCTGTGGAAACCGCATGATGATAATCAAGCGGTAAAATAAGTCAGTAATTAGCAAATTCATCCAAAGTTTTCGTTAAGGCTTCTCGTTATTTCTTTGAAGATCAGTGATTATCAATTCATCTAGCTGTCTGACTCAGAATAGATTTAAGTAAAACTTAATTTGTCAGAAGTGAATAAATTAACAAGATAAGGTGTTGCGCTAATGCAGCCTTGTGAATTAGATGAAAGTAAAAAAAAAAATCAATGCATTATATTTATTTATAATTATATTAGCACAAAATGTATATTATATCCTTTATTTAGAGCAATATTATTGGTTAATGTTATATAAGAAGAATCTTTTAACCAAAGTCTGGATACTGGCTATCGGCTGTTGCCTATTTTGGACGCCAAAGGCCAAAATAATTGGTTGGCCGCAAAAAATTGCCAACACTGGGTATGGATGTACAATAAAATCATCCAGTTATTACTATATTATATACTGTATACAGTAATAGCTAGTTAGTATGATATGGTTTATAGTTTAAAAAGATTACGGTATGATTCCCCAAAAGTTATTTCCCGACATGTAATGTCAACATGCTATTTCATCCACAGCACACTTTTTCGATAAGACATATACAGTATAACCTGTCAAAACCAATCTTGTTAAAACTGATAACCTGTTAAAATCGATGAAAATTTGATCCATGACATTTACTCGACATATATTTTTAACCAACATTAGCTCTAAATCAAGCCAACTCTAATGCCAATTTTATGTCGATGAAATGATTGTTGGGGAAGTATCTTGTCTAAGAAAAGGATTGTTAAAAAAATGTAATGTCGAATATATATCTTATCAAAAAAATAAACTTTAGATGAAATAGTATATCGGCATTATGATGTCGGGGAAATGAGTTGGCGGGTAAGTAACTTTCGGGAAATTGAGAAACAACCTTTAAAAAACCATACCATACTAATTAGATATTATAATAAATTAAATTATTATATTGAATAGTTTTTTGTTGAAATTACCTCTTGAATATGTGTCATGTTGACAGCATTAATAGTGCTCCTCCAATCCGATCCGTAAAATCCTGGATTAAGCCAAATTTTGAGATTGGAGTCTTCACATTGCACTATTATTAGTAATATGGGCCGACCTCGGTCCCATCAGCCGGGCCGACGGCAGGCTGAGGGTCGACCCGTAATTTCATGGGCCAGGGCCAATTAAGGTAAAATAAAATTTTTCTTTTTAGCAAAAAAATTTGCAATAATGATAATATTGTATTATTATGTTGAATAAAACTACAGGTGTATTATAAAATTGAGAATTGAAAGCATTATTTTTAATGATTAAAAATTCTTGATTTTTAAATTGTTTATTTCAACTTGTTAGACTTGCATAGATTCATAAATTCTACAAAATACAATTCACTCTAGTTATAGTAAACCCTCATTATAGTGAACTCTAGTTATAGTGAACTCTCGCCATAGTGAAGGTTTGATATAATGAAGAATTTTTTAAAAGTCGGGTAAGAAACATGGTAATGCAGATGGTCTGTCGCATTACCCAGACCCACCGGTTCAAATTATTAAAACTGACAATGACTTTGTTGAAGGGCTGATATTTAAAGTTGATTTGGAAAGGAAAATGAATGATTTAATTTTAGTAAAACAATTCTTACGAAATATGACTTAGGGACCGCACGTGATTGCATGTGATTTGCCGCGTCTTAAAAGAAAATTAAAGTGGTATTGCTTAATTGGTGATAATCTATACCTATGGTCAAGAAAAGGTGCATCTCCGAAGCATGTAATCATAAATAATAATGAAAAGTATAGCATATTAAAGGCTAGTCACGAGGGTTTAGCACACGAAGGTGGGCATAAAGGAATAACTAGAACTGTAAGGGCTGTCTTGATGAAATATGTATAGGGTTATGGAAGTGTGCATGAAGATGCAAAATGATTTATACAGAGTTGTGAAGCGTGCCAACGATGTGC